TTGATTTGATTGTGAGACTAATTTCAAGTTAATATGAGGAATAGTTATTTTTGTAACAGGATTCCTGGCTAGGTGTGTGCTTGTCATTAAGTGAATTGTAGCAGCTGGTACATAATGTATTTAGATACAAGTCATGTGCTTTGTACAGTGAACTTGTTATTGTGGATACTCTAAAATAAGGACACCTCTATAATGAGGACAGGTAGTATCAGTCCTAATACAATAGTAATGTGTATTAATGAACCTCTGAAATAAGGACAGGTTCATGTATTATTGGGTCCCAAAGTATCGGTAATAGATAGGTTTGACTTTGACTGTATATGTATACTTGTAAATGTATCTGCTTTGGTGCTTGTGTTTAAGGAGAGTGATATGGTATGGTGTGTGTGTATGTTGTCAACATTGCTGTTTTGTTTTGTGGTTGGTGTGACTGTCCATTTATAAACATCATCTTCTCTTTATTTGCATTGTGTCACTTAATTGCACTGGCTCAAATTCCCCCCTTTGTAGCAGCAGCTTTGTAATAATTACCACACACAGCCACACACTAATAGATTAGTCTGTTCCGTCTCACTCTCTCTCTCTCTCCCTCTCTCTCTCTCCCTCTCTCTCTCTCTCCTCTCTCTCCTCCTCCCTCTCTCTTCTATAGATGGTATTGATGGTGCTGCTATGTCCTCTTTAAGAAGGGGCAGTACCAATGCAGGTGGTTCCTATACTCTATCACCAGGTGACCCCTCCCCCTTTCAGAGAGGAGCACGTACCACTAGAGTAAGTACATAGTAACGAGTCTTTTAATGGGTGGAGCCTGGGGTGTGGCTTAATGATATCATCAATTATTGTGGTGTATTGTTAGAGTTTTAGAGATCGTGTGAAATCTTTGAAGGCACCCAAGAAAGTCCCTCAAAGACAACAGGCAGAGACTCACTCGTCTACCAGCGGGTAAGAGAGCAACTACATGTACATGTACATTTTATTTTATTGTTCCTTTTTTATTATTACTATTATTCTTATTAATATAACTTTTATTATTGTATTATTTTGCCTCATTTTAGAATTTTCTCTCCTTAATCTTTCTTCTCTTCTTCTCTTTATTCTTCTAGTGATCTCATCCTTCCTAGAATGAGAGGTGGTCGTTCACTTGATAACCTTCACAGAGTCAGCATGGCTGAAGGAGGGGGAGAGAATCAACCCAGTCTAGGGGAACCTGGAACATTCGTAAGTCTATAGGGGGTTTGGTATTATTGACACATTCTAGGGGTTTGGGTCTGCTATTATTTATGCATTGTAGGGGGTCTGATATTATAAGCTTAATTCTCATGGGTCTCTGTATTATTAGAGGTTCTGGTATTATTGACGCATTCTAGGGGTCTGATATTATTTAAGTTCTTAGTGGGGGTCCTTTGTTGTTTAAAAATCAGTTATTTTTTAGAATAAATATGTACATGTACACAAGTTTGTTGTTTGTGCTGTTATTGAAACTGAAAGTGAGCTAGTTTTGTTTTTTGATAAACTTTGATTGTAATCTTTGGTCAACAGTTAATACACACAATTAGACTAACAATAACAACAACAAATTATTTTAAAATAAGTATTATTATTATTATTATTATTATTATTATTATTATTATTATTATTATTATTATTTAAAAATTTCAGGTTGACCTGGCGACAAAAGGTACTCTAAGCATACAGCTGGTTCATCCTAGCGTATCGCCGAGACACAGTTGCTTCAGATTAATAACTGACAATGATATTATATATGCGTCTTGTGGATCTGCTGAAGAACTGGATAGATGGGTTACTAGGTGAGTGGGCGGGGTTGTAGGTGGAGCCTAGGCAAGACTCACTTTGATATATTATTTTGTTAACAAAACAATTGTATGTACATGTACATGTACATGTATATAATTATGCTATATTTTTAGTGAATTTAAGTGATAAGCA